CCCTCCCATGCAGGCCTGGTCCCTCCCAATTACCCTCTCCTGCTGGCCTAATAGCCCACAACTGCCCTCCATTGCAGATCTGATCCCTCCCAACTGCCTTCCCCTGCCAGCCATCTTGTGGTGGCCATCTTATGTCCACATGGGGACAGGATCTTTGACTACATGAAGGCAGCCATCTTGTGTGTTGTAGTGATGGTCAATCTTCATATTACTCTTTTATTAGACAGGATAGAAGCCTGGTGCAGGATAGAAGCCTGGGTAGGGGTGGGGGCCAGCTGGTTTGCCCTGAAGGGTGTCTGGATCAAGGAGGGGTTCCCTTGGGGCATGGGGTGGCTTGGGCAAGGGGCCTTTGGTGGTTTGCAGGCTGGCCATACACCCCAGCGACCCAAGCAAGGACCCTGGTATCTGGGATTTACCTTCTATAATTGAAACTTTATAGCCTGGAATAGAGCCAAGCCTTCTGCTCGCTCTGTGGTGGCAGCCATTTCTGTTGGGATTTATTTATCTTCTATAATTGAAACTTTGTAGACTGGAATGGAGGCCTACGCTGGCAAGGGCAGGTGGGAAGCTTGGCTTCATCCATCGCCAGGGGAAATCCTAGCCTCCTGTTCTCTCCAGCTCCATGGCTGTCGCCATTTTGTTGGGATTTATTTATCTTCTATCATTGAAACTTTGTAGCATTGAGTGGAGGCCTAGGCTAGTAAGGCAGGTGGAAAACTTGGCTTTTTCCATTCTGGGGAAGCCTAAGCCTTCCTCCTGCTCTGGGTGGCCACAGCCATTTAGGTTGGGTTTATTTGCATATCTGCTCCTGATTGGCTGATGGATGTTGCTTGTGGGCTTGGCTTGTGGGTGTAGCTGAGGTAGGGTCAATTTACATATTACTCTTTTATTATATAGGATTATATTGGATTCTACTTAGTTTCCTTCTTTTCTTATCATCCTGATTGAATGAGTACAATTTTAGACTTTAAAAGCTCACAGAGTCATTAACAGATAAGAAACAGGGTTTTACCATGTCAAATTCCAAAGCTAAGACATAAAAGAAAAAAGGCCTAAGAAGAATGCATTTAATGCAGATATTACATTAAATATATACCAAGAAACCTAAACATTGGAGCAGTAGTTCTCAAAGTGAAGTCCCAGACCAGGAGCAGCCTCACCTAGGCAGGCAAGTCCTAGAAAGGAAAGTCCTCAGACCCCACTCCAGACATACTGAATCAGAGGCTCAGGGGAAGTGAGCTTCATTATATTCTCTCTTCCACTGCCAAGAAATTTCTAGAAAAGACTATTCAATTATATTTCCCTCACAACCCCATAACTTCTAGACCCTCTGTATTCTGGCTTCTCTTCCAGGGTATTGCTAAAATGCTCATTTTAAAAGTCCCAATCATCTCAAAACAATGTCTATTCCCTGGGCCTCCCTCTCCTAGACATATATGAATTTCCTAGCACTGTGGACATTCCCTCCTGGGTGAAATGTCCTAATTCTTTTACTTCTGTGACACAATTTCACCTTCCTGCCTCTCTATCTCCCACTTGCTATCATTGGGAACTACTCTTGCTCCTTCCACAATACAAATACAAGCATATCTCAAAGGTTCATTCTTCAGTCTTCTATTCCTCTTTTTTCAGCTGCTGCTTTGGCATCTCAAGAACATCCAGAAATGAATTTACATCTCTGTACCCCAAATCTCTCTCAAATTACTCTAAATGACCTCATGACTTGTTTCCCCTGAATGTTCTTCCAGTACTGCCAATGGAATGTATCCAAGAGGGAACTTCTCATTTCCTCTATCAGATTCTAACAGTTCCTCCCCAACACCTTCATCATTCCCATTTCTCATTCCACCATCTTCATCAGCTTCCTATTTCTTCTGAAACCCTACTGTAAAGAGTGCCTGGGAAGGCACATGAGCATTTCTTTAACTATTGTCAGCTGAATCCAGTGGAGTTGGCAGAGCCATGTCCTGGAAAGATACCTTTTGCCAGAGATAGGTATGTTATCAGCTTGACCTTCAGCTCAGGTGCCAGGGGATGGGTTTTATTATCTAAATCCAGCCAAGCACCAGGAACAAACACGATTATCCATGCCTACCCAGCAGTGATGATTACAAAGAAGCCCCAAGAATGCACATAATCTCCTTTGTCTTGGGCTTTAGTAAAACTTACTGGGTATTGATCTATAAAATAAACCAGATGTATGGGCACTGTCTCTCCATCAGAGGACAGCTGTCCCACCCAGCCCCAGCGTTTTCTTTCTATCTCTGTGTCTGTCTGTTTCTTTAATTTTCTCAATCCCCAACCACCCCTTACTCAGGAATTGGACCATTCTCTAGCCACGCTGGATGTGAAAAAGAGAAAAATATTTACACCCTACCACAAGACTTACCTATAAAACTCACCTCTGATTCTATTTTTCCTCTGTTCAAAAGCATGTGAAGATTGCCCAAACGTAGCCCAACTTTCTACCTAGCCTTACCTCACATTTCTCCTCAACAAACTTTTTGCTCAGCTAATCTAGAATGCTCATCCTCTCTAATAAGAGTTATATGCAAGTTAACCATCACTCTGCTACAAAGATGGCGTAGCCCATAGTGCAGGGCAGGACAGTAGCAGCAGCAGTGGGGAGATGGGGCTGGTGTCTTCCCCTGACTAGCCCAGTCACCTCTCGCAGAGGAAGGCCAGACTGTGGCTTAGGCCTGCTCCCTGTAGGACATCTCCTGGGGGCTCCCAGTCTGTGAGAGGGGGCAGGCTTGGCTGAGGAACACTCCCCACCCCCATGCACAAATTTTGTGCACCGGGCTTCTAGTCATGTTATAAACATGTCCCAAGTTTCCTCATTTCTGACTCTTGGCTTTATATTACTACCTCAATTTTAAATATCTGTTTCCACTAACTATGATTATAAATTTCACTCCCCAACACCTCTTAACAATTCATAATGCATAATTCCCTCAAACTGAAGTTCTCCTTCACCTGTCTCTATAGACCCAAATATTTATTGCCAACCTCTGTTACTTGCTACCATGCACCCCTACAAAAGGTGATACCCTCCACAACAGAAATGGGTTTTACAGATCTTTGTGTACTGCACTTGACCATGAATGCAAATATTTGTTCAAGGGCTAAATGATCTTAAAGCCAAAGTTCATACCAAGTACCATTTCTGCCATTTAACCAGCCTTTGGGAGTAGGTGAAACACAGTACAAACAGATAAACTTCACATACATAACAACTTAGGAGCAATCAACTCAATCTCCTATGCTTTCTAAACTTACTGAAATATTAGGCTCACTTCAAAGTAAGGAAAGTATGTCAGATTTTTTGAATTACAAAAACTTTTTAAAAAAAGATCAGCTCATTTATTACCAAAATGGAAGATGGGAGGCTTTCTATAAATAAATCTTTATAAAATGTCCTGCATCTCATACCATGCCAGTTTACAGTTTTCAGAGATGATAAACTATCTGCAATCCCAAAAGAAACTTCTTGATCTGAAGGAGTTAAATAACAGAGCATTCATTCCAAAACATTCTATTTTGTCTGGAAGATACTCTCATATTTGATCAGAAAGGCAGAGCAGCTTGATAAATTATAATGTGAAAGATGCATTGATTACTTCAGTTAGGGATAAGTAATTCATTCCTGGAGTTATAAAGAGTCACTGCTTCTCTAGGGACAGAGGGGTGATAATCTCTCAACACCTAGGGTGCAGGATACTCTTTGAAAATGAGAGGAAATGTTTAAAATCATTTAGAACAATTGCTCGGTTCTAATCTTAATACCTTTCACAAATCAAAGCTTAAGCCTGGATACAGTACAGAATCATTAGCGATTAAGAAAGGAGTTAATTTTTTTCTCCTAAAAAACAGACAAGAAGTGTTTTTATTGATTGGCATGTAGCCACCCTTCAAGGTCAGTATTTTAGAGAAAAAGTGTAAGGATTTACACTCAAGTTTTAAATTTGATATCAGTTATAAATCACAGGGCTTACCACTGTGTTTCTCTATGTTCTACACCTGGTTTCATTTTACCTACGTAATTCATAATTTCTCCTTTAAAATAGCAGAGATATAAAACATGCATACAGCTTCCATTCTGTCTTAACTTGGGATATGGAGAAATATCAAATAAGTAACAAATTACCATAAATACTTTTTGAAATAAGACTGCTGAATTCATTAATCAAACAGCAAAAAATACTAATAGAATTTCTGGGATATTTTAAGTTAGAGTTAATTCGCTTTTATTTCAAAGTTCCAATAACTATCCTGATTAAATAAGTATCTAAATAGACATCACATCATCCCTGGGTTCAGATTTCACTCACTCAAGTGAGCACCAGACTTCAGCAACAAAAACTTGACTGAAACTAATTGCTAGAACCCTAGGGGTGGGCTGCTCAGGTTTACTGCAGTTTGTTCCAGAATAAAAAAACTAAACAGAGGTAGATAGACTACCAGAGAAAATAAATCAACATTAGCTGTATCATACTGGGGTAACAAAAAGCTAGTAAGATTTTCTTCCAATGATTTTTACTACTTATAAAAAATTTAACGTCATCAATTTAATATATTATCAAAACTCAAAAATAGTATTTTCTCAGCCAATGAAATAACCACTATCAAAAATTAATATTAAAATAAAAGTTTTATTAAGTTTTTCCAACCTTTAAAAAAACAACAACACCTCATCTACAATGTAATTTCAAATGGCAGAAAATACATCCAAGGGGGGCTTATAACCACAAGACCAACCCAAAATAAATGAGTATTGCTATTTTAATGTTAGCAGTAAGGTTATATTATATTGATCAATAACAGAGAATGTACTTAAAAATATATTAATATTTCTATTAGGATTAATACTTATACTAACATTAATGATAAAACTTAGGACTATGGTTGTATTACTGCATTAGAAATAACAAACAAAAAATAAAACACAGACTAAATTCAGGAGCACAGCCAGCAAAACCATGACAACGGAAAGGGCTTACTTTGACATGGCTCTGGGCGCCAAGGTTGTAGATCTCGGTGGGCTTTACTTCATTGATGATCTTTACAAGGCAGGTGCTGTCAGTGAGATCACCGTAGTGTAACTTCATGTCTTTAGGGTTCAGAAACATAGCATTAGATAAAAGAAAATGACATAAGCCCAACTTTTTAAAATATCAAAATTGAAATGCATATTCTTAAAGTCTATAAACCAGACTGGTTCCAGATCAGCAAAGACTTTAAAAAGTGAAATATTCATATTTGTTGCTTGTGTCCCTACAGGATTTATAAAAACTCAGATTAAATTAAAAAACAACATTATGACAGAGGTTATACAATTAACTACAGCTTCCAGGTGGTTGTAAGGTATGTTACCTAAGAGTGAGATTCAGACAAAAAAAAAAAAAAAAAAAAAAATTGCCCTAATGTGAATACTATCTAAAAAAAATCGAATACACTAATAAAAGTGAAGACAGCTATGTTCTTATACTGTTATCTAACAATTCTCAAATACTTCATAAGCATCAATTCTTTAGCTATCTATGAAATGTGTGAAGTATGACAGGTGATTAAAGGACAACTAGCCTACTCTAACCATAAATCTAAGCATATCCTTACATTGACTTCATTAGTCAAGGACACACATATATGGATGATTTGCCAACTTGACCTTTTCATAATTTTTACACAATATTGATTTATGTCTGGATCCAATGGCAGTACCATCCTGTATTTTGCATAAATATAACAATTTTAAGAAGGATTAATAAATAACCTAAATATTAAGATTTACTAAGGACAATGAGGTCATCATCTTGATGATGTCACTATCTGTACAAGTAATCCAAGGCTCTGAAGTAAATATGAAATCACTTATGGTTTAAAGCTGACTAGATTATCCCTGCTAGCTGGAAAAACTGGATGAGTAAAATAGGGTAAACTAGGAAGCTAAAAAATGCCATGTCCTAGTCCCAACTCTGTCTTTTACAAGGTATATAGCCTTGATAAAGTGACATCATCTCTGCCTCCATTTCCTCATCTGTAAAATGGGAGCCGTAAGAAAGATCACATGGGAAAACACAGTGACTGTGCCAAGTAAATCCTACAAATACATACTGACAATTTTAGTAACAAAAATAACAAACAACTGTAAATACTGACAATGATCTAAACAGCAATTAAATACAGTTTTTACTGCCATTTGTTTTGGGACCTGTCTTTAAAATTAAATAAATGTACAAAGATTGTTTAACTTAATTACATTAGAACAAACATAAAAAGCAAGAATATTCCAAAACTATGAAGCTGATCTTACTTGAGGGGATAAGAACACCTGAAGCAAGTGGTCAAAGGTATTTCTTCTGTTGGTTTCTAGAATAGCAAGACCTGACCAACATCCTTGTAACAGACTCACTAAGATGACACTGTGGCCTGAGGCCAGCAAGCAACAAAGGGTTTTCAAAAATTACAGATATCATTCAATGCAGGTAATTTACGATCAATAACTACAACTTCATGGGCTTTGAGAAAAAGGACTTTAGAAAATATCTCATAATATAGTATGCTATAGAAAGTGATTTTAGAAATGACAATTACTTACTTCCTTCAATATGAGCCTGGGGGTTCTTATACAGATGTTCAATTCGGCCAGTATTGAATGAACTGGATCTCCGTACAATTCCATGAACCTGCATTTTCAGTGTGAGAAGATATGAATAGATTATAAATGTACAATAAAGACTAATGAGCAACTCAAGAGTTCTTTTGATAATGTTTAGCTTTGCAAACTATACATACATACATACATATATATGTATATATATATAAATTTATAAAAATTATTTTTGCATTATTAAAAATGTCCCATGCTTCCATTTCCACCAACCACTGTACTCCAGCCACAGTGCTCTACCTCCACCTTCATCCCTGTTTGTACTGCTAATCTCAAAAAAAAAGTATTCACATAGTTATGTGATTTCACAGCAAGTGTTCAGATACTCAGATGTCTCCTTTTATAAACACACACATACAGCCTTACTGTTGATAAAAATATCTCTTCCATTTGAAACTGAAGACAGACCACGTGAGTCCATATCAGTAAAACAGCCTTACAACCGCTTCAACACAGGAGGCCAAATGGCTCCAAACACCACCACATCTGTTAGTGTCATTGGACCTTTGTATCTCACTCTTATTATATATATAATGTGAATTACTAATGTGAATACTATCTAATGAAAGTGAAGACAGCTATGTTCTTATACTGTTATCTAACAATTTTCAAATACTTCATAAGCATCAATCCTTTAGTCATCTATGAAATGTGTGAAGTATGACATAGGTGATTATACACACATAGACACACACACACATACACATGTGTATATATATCTGGGCCCACAAATATAATCAGAGAGCAGTTGCTGTGTGGGAAAGTAAGAAAGCTAATAGATTAAGGGGGAAAACTTATTAAAGACATACAGAAAATTAAAATAAAGAGAGGACTTTTTAAAAAATTTGATCATTAAATTAACCATGGTAAGTGTGAGGGGGTAAAAGTAATTGAATAAAAATGCATACCTATCTAATACTGAGTAAAAGAATATTTATATCTGATATGTAAGCTAAATTGTTCAAGTTCTGGTACCTTTCCTTCTTGTGTCAGGATTGCTCCCTTTGTGTTGCCAATGCTAACACCAGCTATTGTTACTATTATACCTGTGCAAGTTTCAGTTCCACTGATGGCAGTTTAATTTCTTCATTTATTTCAGAAGTGTTCCTTCTAATGCTTGGTAGTATCATTTGTAGCTGAACACAAATTTTAATTTATTTTAATTTAATTGCTTTCTGTCTATTACAAACAAAAACTAATTCTTGACCTGACTCAAATATCCCAAGTGCAGCAGGAAATTATAAGCACAAAAGACTTCTTTCAAATAGAAAAAAAATGCCATCATTTTACATGGCATACAGAGAAACTGACATCTACAAAAGGATACCACACTCCCACAATCAATAATTCTGTTGGTTAGTTGCTTTATAGTCAAAGAGAAAAGCATCCATACACCTATTTGCCAAAAGAACTATACAAAAAAATTTGGTAAACCTGAAAATACTTTAAGAAGGACATATCACAACTTTGGTTGACAAGGTGGTAGAATTTAGAAAACATTAAATTGAGATGAGGAAATGTATGCATATCTATTTCTTAATATAAAAGTGAAGAAAATAACATTTATATTAAACTTTGGATTTAGTCTACTTGAAGATCTCCAATTTTTCCAATTATTATTAACTAGAGGCCCAGGGCATGAATTCATGCATGGGTGGGATCTGGCTGGCCAACCCCTAAGGGAGCTATTGGGGTCGGGCCAGTGGAGGGAGGGGATACAGGAGGTTTGCCAGCCAGCCTTCCCCCAATGTGCTGGGGGGCCAATTGGGACAAGGACGGTGGGGAGAGGGACTGTGGGAGGTTGGCTGCCGGCCCCACCTCCCAAATTGGGGCTCAACCAGGGCTGTGCCAGTGGCGGGGGGGCTCACAGGAGGTTGGCCAACCCCACCCACAGTGGGGTACGGGGGAAAGGCCACTGGTGGTCAGCCAGATGGCCCCACCTTTGATCGGGGTGTTGAGGACAACTGCCAGCTGGGCAGAGGGACCGTGGAAGGTTTGTGGATGCCAATAGGAGCCCTTATAGGGCCAGTTGGCTACTGCAGTGCAAGTCATAGTGACCGGTAGTTTCAGTTGTTCCGGTCATTCCTCCATTCCAGGGGCTGGCTTTTATATATAAACTACTGGCCCAGTGCATGAAATTTGTGCACTTGGGGTGATCCCTCAGCCCAGCCTGCACAATCTCGCAGTCTGAGAGCCCATTGGAGATGTCTGACTGATGGCTTAGGCCCACTCTTATGACTGGAGCAGTGCTCCCCCTGTGGGAGTACACTGACCACCAGAGGGCAGCTCCTGCATTGAGCATATGCCCTCTGGTGGTCAGTACACGTCATAGTGACCAGTCCTTCCGCCATTAGGTTATTTGCACATTAGCCTTTTATTATATAGGATTGCAAAGTTGAACTGCTCTACAAATTTAATAAATGTTTAATAGAAAGCAAGTTTACAAATGTACTTATATATAGAAAAATTTGTGTTTACCACCAAAATTATTTCTGAAATACAGATTTTTCAATTTTATTTCATTGGATACAGAATTATTTACTTATTCTAAAAAGAGATAATTTAAACTTGACAAAGAAAAACACAATAAAATATGGCTATGTCTATTTTTTCTCTTGATTGGTTAATTCTGGGTAAGTCACATAGTGGAACAACTCAAAGAGAAATGCCATATACAAATACATTGTATATAAACATATAAGCTCTGATTTTTTAAAAGTAAATAATATTGATGGATTCAGTATGAAAATCAGACAACTGCACAAAGTAACAGCATGTTAATAATATAAGAGTGACAATAAAGTATTAAGCACTAGTGTTTTTTGTGTCCTTTTCTTAATACCAAATAATATGTTTTAATTTTCCCTCAGTCCCACATTTTGGTACATGTATACAGGGAAAGAAAGACCGGCCAAATGCTTATTCCATGATAGCAAGTGTTGTTCTAAGAACTATGAAAGCTAAGTCTGTCCACTTCTGAAACAGGTAAAATGCAAACTTCAAAGACAAGCCAAAATCTGTGCAAACTGGATTATCTAGTTAAGAATTTGAGATTAGTGGCTTTCTCGTTACGGAAGAGATGTAAGTAGGGTTTTTCTTGTTTTGTTTTTATAAGGATTTTGGGGAAAAGAGATGATGAGTTAGAAAACCAAAGTGAAAAGAAAAATGAGCTGCATGTTACTCCCTATAAACTTAAAGTCATTATTAAAATATGGCAGATCAAAAAAATATAATTCTGAAAAACTAAGGTCTTAAAATAAATGGAAGTGATTATTTTGTCAAATTAATTTCAAGTCCCATTTAACTAAGAGATGAAAAAGAAAATTCCAAGCTCTCTCGGTGTCAAAACAAAGTTTGTTTGACTTAAAAACCTAATCTGATTAGGCAATACTTACAGAAATCCTTCCTTTCTTCTTCCCTTTCAGCCTTCCCTCCATTTTTCTCTTCTTCCAAGCAAGAAATCCATTTGTTTGTTTATTTACTTAGTATTTCATATAGTTAAAAATAGAAAATTTTACCACTAGATTTAAAATTCTTCAGTATCTAGATTTTTCTTGGATTCAATAATGCCTTCAGGTATGTTTAATGCCACTTGTTTGTTTTTTTTGTAATAGTATAAGTTTTGTGGGTAATATCAATAGCTAACATGTACATGGCAATGACTATGTGTCAGACACTGTTGTTTATAGATATTAAAATACCTGATCTTCACAACAACTTTCTATTACTACTCCAATTCTACAGAGGATGCTGCCTGTGTAACACAGCTTATAAGGAGTCATGTTAAAGGCTGGACGGGGCTCTGGCTGGGAGGCTCAGTTGGTTGGAGCATCATCTTGCAAACAAAACGGTTGTGAGTTCGATTGCTGGTCAGGCACATACCTAAGTTGTGGGTTTGATCCCTGGTTGAAGTGCACATGGGAGGCAACCTACTGATGTTTCTCTCTCTCTCCCTCCCTCCCTTTGTCTCTCTCTAAAATCAATAAACATATGTATCCTCTGGTGATAATTTAAAAAAAGAAGAAAGGATTGACATGGTCAAAAATGCTAAAACTCCTTATGGTTTCAAAATGAAACTATAAAAAGCTTTTTTCACCATAGATTCTAGGATATCCAACAACCCAGAAAAAATATTTCAGAGATTGTCACAGATCAAGAATGGAATAGTAGAAACTCCATATCCTAACAAATAATTTATGAGATAACGATTACACAATCTTTTATATCCTATTTTTGTTCTCCTCATCTCCCTAGTTTTGATACCTTTCTTGGAAGTGAAACCCACAATTCACCTATTCTTTAACTTCTTATATGTGTTTATATAGTTGTCATCCAGTTATTTAATATAGATTTTTCACATATTCAAAGATAAATTTTAGCTTTTAAAGAGTTTAATTCTGTCCTTCATTTCTCTTGTTTCTCTCTGTATTTGTACAGTTTACATTCAATATTATTTTGCATTAGTTTCAGGTGTACAAAATATGCTGCTGGCTCATTGCAAATAATGACTCTAGGAAAAGCACTGGAAACTAGAACTCAGTTTCATAAGAAGCTTCACTTATGTCAGTTTTCCTTGTTCCCTTATGATGGAAGGAATATAATGTGCACAGGACCAGGAACCTAGGACATGTAATATCCTGCCTTCCACTAATGCTAAGTATAAGTAGTGAACTGGACTAAGGAGCCTCTACAAAACCTGTAGCAGCACCAAGCACTGTGTGACTCTATTACTCCCATACCATGAGCCTCATTACCCCACAGAGCTCCTCTGGACTGTCCATCACAGACTGTCCAACTGATGGCTTAGGCCCGCTCTTCTGGCTGAGCGGTGCACACTGAATCGTCATGATAACCTTGGGGAAAAGAGTGCCGAACAGCCTCATCCATGGGAAGGAACTAAGTCTTAGAAAGGTCCAATGACTTGCCCAAAGTCACGGGGCCAACAACTGGCAGTGGAGAGTTAGGACTCAGACTGTCCAGCACCAGGGTCAGCTGGCTTCCTCTCCACGGGAAGCT